GCACACCGCACGAGGGACTCACTTGAGGCCGAGTCGACCTAGGGGAGGGGCCCAGGACCGGTTCGGAAAACCCTCAACTGGCGTTGGTGGCTATGAGCGGGAACCAAACTCTACGTTACTGGTATAGGAATAGGTTTTACCCTTTTAACTGGCACAAAAACTGACACCTTTGTTCAAGGCATCATGTTTGCAATAACCACAACACAAGTAGTCAAAATGCAAACAAAAAAGACAACTCTGATAATAATATGCACTGTCCTTGAATTTGATTGGTCCACACCCGAAACAGCTTTTCTTAGAGCCTAGTCTCCATTGGTGTTGGACCAGAAGACGCCAAAAGGCATACAACTCAAAAACAGCGCACTATCAGAGTATTGAGGGCTCGGGGTGAGCATTAACATTATGAGACCTCCTTTGCCAGAAACAAGATATAGGAATAGGTTTTACCCTTTTAACTGGCACAAAAACTGACACCTTTATTGTGTCACAAAGACAAAAATCCCCCGTATAGCCCAATCAGAATGTTGGGGGAAAGTGCTGTTAAGCGAGTAGCGAGCAGCACCAGCCGAACGCTCAACAGACCCAGGTGCCATGGGGTTGACCGACTAAGATGACCGACACACACACGGCTGTAGTTGTCACACCCTCTGTGCTCTTGAAACGTGACCCCACCCTCGTTCTAAGCTCCGGTTCCCCTCTTAAGCGCCAATCCCTTCTGATACCTCACACGGGCGTAAAGACTAAGGGGGGGGGTACACGTGTGGTGGCACTGTTGGTGGTGGAGTTTGTGGGGTGCGCTCAGGGTTAAAAAGCTCGTTGGTTTGATCCACACGGAGATTCAGGTGAAGAAATTCTGAGTGACATCATCGCGCAAGCCCTGCTCCCACCACGACCCACCAACCCCCCCCCCCCCCACCTTCTCAACACGGCCAAACTCAACTCTCACCAACACCGCTCCTCCCCCCCCTTCCCCCACCCGCTACAGACACAGCGCCGGCGCTGGCGTGCGAGCGTCACCTCGATGGGGTCGACGTCGTGGGCGATGATCACCAGCTGCGCCTTCTTGCTCTCAACGAGCGTCGTCACCGTGTTCACTCCTGCGCGCGTTCGCGAGGGCACACACGGGGCGAGGGGGAGACACGCGGACACACACGGGAGGGACGCGCGCACACGGGGGAGACGAGGAGATGCGAGGCGTTACAGGCGGCACCCATCGCCGGGCACGCGCGTGTGCGAGTGAGCGAGTGAGTGCGTGCGTGCGCGCGGGGTTGCCAAACGCCACACGGTCGGTGCGCTGCTGGCGGTTGGCAGCAAGGAGGCAGGCGGCGGGCATCAGAGATCTTGGTGGTAACCAGGCTGTCGTCATCAAGACTCCGCTAGCAAATATTCGGTGGCATCATCTGCAACCGCGCGCCCGAGGCCACTCTTGTCCGCGCTCCGCTAAACTTTTTTTTGTTAATTTTTATTTTACCAGGTTAAGGCGCACTAGGCTACGCTGCATAGCGACCACAAACGGTAGCTCAGCGAGAGTGGCTCATCATCGCGTGGAAAACTTACAGCGGCCAAACCCTCGTAGATTCCAAACGATTTGAAATGTGGAGGGGGGAAGAAAAAAAAAACCCCAGTGGACCCGGAGGAAAATCCACGCGACCACGGAGAGAGACGCCGCAAACTCCAAATATACAGCAGCAGCAGGCATCGTCATGGTCGGGATCGAACCCACGACCTCCTGCATAGCAGCAGGCGAGGTAGTCAACATCTCGCCAGAAACAAAGACTAATCCCCGAGCACTAAACATAGTTTGTCAACACATTAATTTATTGTCATTGTTTAGAATGTGCTACTTATACGTTGAGTTTTAATGTGGGAACGCCGCTTCGAGTCGCAGACTTGCACCACAAAGGTGCCACGTCTATGCAAACAAAAATATTGACTGGACTGCACATAGGTGGCGTGTGTGTTGTGTGGTTTGTGTGTATGTAGTGCGTGTGTGCAGTACACGTGTGGTGTGCGCGTATAGTACGTGTGTAGTGTGCGTGTGTAGTGTGTGCGTGTGCAGTTCGTGTGTAAGTACGTGCGTGCGACACCCGTGCGTAGTGCACGTACGTGTATGTAGTGCGTGTCTGCAGTACACGTGTGGTGTGTGCGTAGAGTGCGTGTGTAGTGTGAGCGTGTGTGCGTGTGCAGTTCACGTGTAGTACATGCGTGTAATGCCCGTGTGCAGTGCGTGCATGCGGAGCGTGCGGTACACGCATGTGTGCGGTACACGCATGTGTGCGGTACACGCATGTGTGCGGTACACGCACGCGTGCGGCGAGCGTGCGGTGCGTACCCGAGCGGATCACGGGGGGTCGCTTGGTGGGAACGTCCTCCTTCCCGGCGGCCTTCTGCTCGGCGCGCGCCATCAAGCGCGCCTTCTTCTCCTGCTTGGTCTCCGGGCGGTATTTGTGGGCCAGCTTGAACAGCTGCGTGGCTGCGCGCACCGCCAAAGATTCACCCACCCACCCCCCACCCCCCCCCGTGTCGCATTTAAATGAGACTTTTCGATTTAAAGCTTTCGTGACTGCAATGATTTATCTTCTTTGGTTCTTTCGGTAAAGTCACGTAGAATGAGAATAAAATAATAAATTGATAAAATAAAATAACACAATAATATTCTCACGACGTTTCGGCCACAACACAAGCGGCCTTCATCAGGTGAAGGGGCGAGACTGTCTGGTAGGACAGCGCTGGAGTGAAAGAGCCACGTTCAGATCACGGCCTTTAAGCTTAGAGTCGCGGCATCTCTTCAGAAAGGTGAGAGACTCGATTAGTTGAGCCTTCTTATCCCGAAGTCTGTTGAATGATCTTAAGGATGTGTGGAATCCCTCCCCGTAGGGGACTTTACCGAAAGAACCAAAGAAGTTAAATGAGACTGTTTGGGGGCAAGTTACTACACACGAAATGCACGCGTACACTACTCGCACGCCTACTACACACGTACCATACGCACACACCACACGTGTACTGCACACACGCACTTTCATACACACGCACTGTGCACGACATGCACACACCACACACAAACTACGCGCTCGCAATATATCTCGTTCCGTAGTGCGGCGGCCGCCCCCCCCTCCCCTCTCTCTCCCCCGCTAGTGCCGCCGTGGGGTTTGATTGGTGGGCGCGGGCGGGCATCAGAGATCTTGGTGGTTATGGTGTCGTCATCAAAACCTCCGTTAGCAAATATTCAGTAGCATCATCTGCACCGCCCACCGCCACTTGCTCGCGATTTAAACGGTGGAGACATTGGCGACGCCGCTGTGAATACGACGGTGGTGTGGAGGAGGATGGAGAAGTAACGGTGGTGACATGGTCATTGTGTGCGATGCGATCCTCCCGGTCATCTCCACTGGCCATCAGTCAGCTATCGCGAGCAATTTAAGTTAGTTGCAATGGCTTGCAAAGCTCAAAACGTCTTTGGGGTCCTGGCCCCCCAGACTACCGTCTGCTAGATACATACCGTGCGCTCCTCAGGCCAGGCCCGGCTAGCTCAACCTATAATTTGTCATTCTGAGCTGGGCGGTAGTAGTAGGGGCTTCGAGTGTGGCGCCTAAGATCCGGTACCCTCCTTCCACCGCCCCTCAGATTGGCTCCGAGCACCAAAACTGTTCAGGAGACTCTGCAAGGATCTTTTTTTTCCCTTTTAGTTTTTCCTTGAGCGTGTCCTCTCATTTTTACATATGCGTGTCTTGATTTTACAGATAGGACTACCTTAGTTTGATTTATATTGCCATGGAACTTTAGTGGGGGCGAGTCTAATACTCAAAAAAATAAATAGAATGAATGAAAATTTTACGGCGTTGACGTGACGGTGGTCACGATGGCGATGTAACGGTGGTGACATCGGTGTGAAGACGATGATGGTGTGGAGATGATTGTGAAGCAACGGTGACGACACTGGCGACGGTGATGACGGCGACGGTGGTCATGGCGATAGTTACCCGTCTGCCGGTCCAGGGCCTGTGTGAACTGGTTGATGGCCGGGGGCACCTTCAGACGCTTGTAGAGGATCGCTCGCTGGCGCTGCAGGCGCACGTAGCGAGGCCAGCGCACAAACCGCGTCAGGTCCCGCTTTGGCTGGATGTCCTGGCCTGGACCACGGTTAAACGAGGGGACAAACTGCATCAGCACGCGCCTCCCCGCACGCCACCCCTCTCCCCCCCCCACCACCCCACACCGGGGGGGGCACACTCCCTACGCGGTGGGGGAGGCGGCGGCGGTGGTGGGGTTGTTTGTGGGGCGCGCTCAGGGTTAAAAAGCTCGTTTGGGTTTGATCCACACGGGAGATTCAGGTGAAGAAATTCTGTTTGACATCATCGCGCAGCCCTGCTCCCACCACCGACAACCCATGGCCACCCCCCCCCCCCCAAGGCTTCTTCTACCTGCTGCTGCACAGGAGGCGAGACTTTCACCAAGCGAGGTGAGAGACGATGGGGGGGGGGTGGGGGGGAAGCTGGAGGAGAGAGGAGATGTAGGAGGGGAGATGGAGCAGGAGGAGATGTAGGAGTGGAGATGGAGGAGAGGGAAGATGGGAGCAGGAGAGGGAAGATGGAGGAGAGGAGAGAGATGGAGGGGAGAGGAGGCAGAGAGATGGAGGGAATGAACAATGGAGAGGGGAGATGTTGGAGAAAGGAGACGGAGTTGTGGGAGTCGTAGTTACCGATGGAGTAGTTCTTGGGCCGCTTCTCAAACAGGGGGTTGACCGTCTTCTTCGCCTCATGCTTCTTGACGGCGAAGGGCGCCGGCGCCACCTTCTTCCCCTTCGACTTGGCCTTCTTCCCCTTGGGCTGGGGGGGGGGGAAGGGGATGGCAAAGGGACGGGAGGGGTCGGTACAGGGTGGCTCAGTCAAGCTGTTGGGTGTCGCCACGCCAGCAGCTGCATCTAGACGCGCGAGCTTCCCCGCAAAAAGTGAGACACACGGTGTGGGAGGTGGCAGCGGGCAGCGTTGTTTGTGGGCCGCGCTCAGGGTTAAAAAGCTCATCGGGTTTGATCCACACGGGAGATTCAGGTGAATGACATCGCTCCCCACCCAGCCTCGCTGCTGCACCGGCGTCTGAACCGCGCGCAACGCCGCGATTCTCGCCTAGTGGTTACCTGTGTGTGTGTAACAAGAGGGGCCGTATTGGGCGGTAACACCGTTGTGCAGCATACAAGTAAAACAAAAAAAATCGAATCGGCAAAAATCTCTTTGATCAGTCTTTAAAACGCCCCTTGTTGCCAAGTTTTGACGCACGCGATTCCAAGTATTTATTCGGTCTGCCTCGGCTCGCCAAGGGCTCAATGTTGACCGCTGATTTGGGGGGGGGGGTCCCGTCGAATCGAGGAGGGGGGACCGTTCGACCCAAGCCTAGGTTAGTCAGGGGGCACGAGTACAAACGAGCAGCACGCCTATGTAGTAAGGCCGGCACAATCAAATCTCGTTCCGTAGTTTCGGCGAGCGTGGCGGCCGAACAGCCTCCCCGCCGTGGGGTTTGATTGGTGGGCGCGGGCGGGCATCAGAGATCTTGGTGGTTATGGTGTCGTCATTGGAACCTCCGTTAGCAAATATTCAGTAGCATCATCTGCACCGCCCTCCGCCACTTGCTCGCGATTTAAACGGCGGCGGAGACAGGTTTTTGTGGGTCATAGCGTGCGAATGTGTCGTTAAGTCCACCCACCACACAGCCAAACTAGTAAGGTTCGTCACGTGGCCAATTCGTCACTAGTACAGCAACGCCTGTTGTGTGGTCGGAGAGCCAAGCCACGACATTTACAATCCGAGCAACGACGTTTCGCCGGCTATTACAACTAGCTTTCACCAGGCGGCAGCGAAACGTGGACGCATTTATATATTTGTACGCGACCCAACACACAAAAAAAAACCCGGTATCATTGATATTTGTCGCGAAAGCCGACGTGTTAAAACGAACGTAAGCCGTTTGTAGGGCATTGCGGGCTACATGACCCCAGCCATCCAGACAAATCTTCTTTGGTTCTTTCGGTAAAGTCAAGTAGAATGAGAATAAAGTAATAAATTAATACAACAAAATAACACAATAAAATTCTCACGTTTCGGCCACAACACAAGCGGCCTTCATCAGGTGAAGGGACGAGACTGTCTGTCTAATTTTATTAATGTATTATTTTATTCTCATTCTACGTGACTTTACCGAAAGAACCAAAGAAGATGAATCCTTGCAGTCACGAAAGCTTTAAATCGAAATTCATCCAAAGTTAAAGACAAAGATCCCCCGCGTAAAGCCTTTACAGGCTGCAGGGGCAAGTGCTGTTAGCGAGCAGCACCTATGAAGGCCTGAACGTTACGCCGAGGAGGGTGGGGTGGCCAGCACCACGCCCGACCGCCTTTGTCTTCCCAGTGGCGATGTTTACTACACCGCGCACCAGGGTACTCATTTGAGGCCGAGTCGACCTAGGGGATGGGGTCCCAGGACCGGTTCAGATAATCGTCACTCGGTGGTGGTGTTTGGCCGTGAGCGGGAATCCAAACCCGGGTCGCCGGATTCATAGCGCACTACTACACCACCGCTTCCCACATCCAGGCTGTTGTGGGCAAGTGCTGTGTTGCTGGGTTGGCAAAGTGGCGCAACAAAAGGAAAACCCTAACACGTTAATCAGTAATACTGTGCGCGCGCGGATATGAAGGGCCATAGCCCGAAACGTCGTCTATCACGAATGCACCGCGGAGAGAGCGAGAGTTGTTGCGAGCTTTCTAAGTCTGTGGAAAACACGAAATACGCGGGCCAAATACAGAGACTCCTACTAAGTTACCTCACTTCACATCAGTTACCCCACGAGGAAGTTACCTCACCTCACATTACACCAGTTACCCTACAATTCACCATGGCTGTGTTACCTTCACACCATTGGGAGTTACCAAAGCCTGCCACGTTACCAGAGCAAACGTTACCATTCACAGTTACCCCACGTGTAAGTTACCTCACTTCACATCAGTAATCCTACTAGTTACCACGGCAGTGTAACTTTCACACCATTGGGAGTTGCCAAAGCCTGCCACGTTACCCTTCACACAATTACCCCACGTGGAAGTTACCTCACACCAGTTACCCTACTAGTAACCACGGCAGTGTTACCTTCACACAATTAGGAGTTACCAAAGCCTGCCACGTTACCAGAGCAAACGTTACCATTCAGTTACCCCACGTGTAAGTTACCTCACTTCACATCAGTTACCCCACGAGGAAGTTACCTCACCTCACATTACACCAGTTACCCTACTATTCACCATGGCTGTTTTACCTTCACACCATTGGGAGTTGCCAAAGCCTGCCACGTTACCCTTCACACAGTTACCCCCGTGTAAGTTACCTCATCACATCACAGCAGTTACCCTACTAGTTCCCACCGCAGTGTTCCCTTCATACAATTTGGAGTTACCAAAGCCTGCCACATTACCAGAGCAAACGTTACCATTCACAGTTACCCCACGTGTAAGTTACCTCACTTCACATCACACCAGTTACCCTACTAGTCACCACCGCAGTGTTACCTTCACACAATTTGCAGTTACCCAAGCCTGCCACGTTACCAGAGCAAACGTTACCATTCACACAATTACCCCACGTGTAAGTTACCTCACATCACAACCCACCAGTTATCCTATTCACCACGGCAGTGTTAATCAATGACACCACCAACAGGATAACCAGTTACCACGCGCATTAAGTTACCCTCACGCGATGTTAGGTGACCACGGCAACGCGATCGCAAGAGAAGGGCAAACAAAAAAATATTTTAACAAAAAAGTTTACCCCACTCGCCAGCTAAGAGAGAAACGGGCGAGGCGTGTCGGGCCTCCTCCGCCATCGCCGCGTGAGCGAACACGAAATAAAAAAAACAAAATATATCGACTCGGGAACGTAGCGGAGAACTCGGGGCGTGCGGGGAGAGGCGTCGCGGCGGCGGCGGCACGCGGGAAGGGGACGGATGCCGGCGGATTGACTTCGCGTGAGGGAACGAGAAGGAGAGCGCCGCCACAGCAGCGACTACTCACCATGATGGCGGCGCGGAGAGAGAGAGAGGGTAGAGGGAGGGGGTGGGGGAGGGGGTAGTTAGGGTGGGGGGAGTGTGTGAGGGGAGGGAGGGGGGTGCTGCGCGCGAGACGACAACCACCCCCCTTGCGATTGGCTGAGCGCGGGCACGTGGACCGGGTTTGTCCAATCAGAAGCGGATATTTTTTTTATTGCACGCGGTACTCTCGTTGTTGGATGAGGGGCAGGGGGGAGGGGGTGTAAGGTGGAGGGGAGGGGGGCCCCGGACTGTGAATTCTCACCACGTGCGGGTCGCTGTGTGGTGACGTCACTGCCATCTTAGGTCGGTTAACCCCCCTCCACCCCCACCCCCCTTAACATTGATGAAAAAAACTTCAAATCAATATTGATAAAGGCGAAGTGAAGGCGGCGTTTCGTGCGACGGCCCTACTTATCATTCTTCACATAGAGACGAGGCCAGAAGAAGAGAGAGAGTGGATGTTAAGAGTTGGGAGACTGCTTTCCAACCATTGGGGTTCTTGATAAAAATAAAACGATATATTTTTGACCGATTAAACCTTTTTATAAAATTGGATATGAACGATCACCTTATCAGTGGATATTCACATCACGATAAAGAAGACTAATCGACAATATGAATATATTTAACAATTAAATTGTAAAAATAAAAAGGGTCCTGGCACATTGCATTATGGGTGGGGTCCCATTGTTTCCGCCCCCCATCCGCCCCTAGGTAAGATGGCGGCGCGAGGCTCATTGATAGCCGCGCTCACTCCACTGCTGCCCTGAAGCAGCGCCGCGCTCTCTCCACTGCTGCCCTGAGGGAGAGCCGCGCTCTCTCTCCACTGCTGCTGCCCCGAGATGTCGCGTGCGCTGCCCCAGAGCAAGGAGGCGCTGCTGCAGTCGTTTAATAAGCGGCTCAAGGACGACGTCCGCTCCATCCTGGACAACTTCACGGAGATCGTCAAGACGGCCAAGGTGAGCCTGACACACACACCGACACACATACACCGCGACACACACCGTGACACACACACACTGACACACACCGTGACACACACACACTGACACACTGACACACACCGTGACACACACACTGACACACACGCTCACACACACACTGACACAGACAACAACAACCGCCATTCGCCACTAAGTGGCGGTGACGTCACCACGACGCTTGTGCCAGGCTATGTGCACCGTGAGGCCACGTGAAGTGTCGAACGCCCGCTGGCAGGAGGTCACTGGGCAGACCCAGGTGCCACGGGTCGACTGACTGAGATGACTGGCTGATGCACCACCTGTGCCCCCTACTGTGCCAACCTGCTGTGCTTTAGCCACCCGGCGCTCCGCTCGTTGTTGTGAGCGTCGCTCCTCCGCCCTCCGTTGTTGTTGGAGGGCGACTGCCTCCAACTGCCCAGTAGCGTCCTTCACGAGCCTCCTCCACAGAGGCCGATCTTGACACCGCTGGTACCAGTCATCGGCAAGTCCACTCAGCTCCACAGTCCTCCTGTACCACATCACTCCATCTCTTCTCTAGCCCGTGCCACGCCCGCTTAGCCCCCTCAATCCGGCCAAACAAAAGCTGTTTCGGCATGCGGTGGCTGGGCATGCGGGCTACATGACCCAGCCAATCGCAGCCTTAGCCTGCCTGGAGGAGCTCACCGATGGGACCCTTGCCCAGATCTTTCAAGGATTTGTGAAGCTCCTCACACAATCCAGTCTGGTTAAACCCAGGATGGATTGTAGGCAGGCCAGCCTAAATGTTTCTAACCGGCGAAGATGTTCCATTAGGGGGGTCCACGTTTCGCAAGCGTAGAGAAGGGAGGGAATGACCGTGGCCGAGAAGACCTGGGTCTCTGTGTGGTGAGTCCATGGGTCTCTGTGTGGTGAGTCTATGGGTCTCTGTGTGACGAGTCTATGGGTCTCTGTGTGGTGAGTCTATGGGTCTCTGTGTGACGAGTCTATGGGTCTCTGTGTGGTGAGTCTATGGGTCTCTGTGTGGTGAGTCTATGGGTCTGTGTGTGACAAGTCTATGGGTCTCTGTGTGGTGAGTCTATGGGTCTCTGTGTGACGAGTCTATGGGTCTCTGTGTGACGAGTCTATGGGTCTCTGTGTGGTGAGTCTATGGGTCTCTGTGTGACGAGTCTATGAGCATCTGTGTGGTGAGTCTGTGTCTCTGTGTGGTGAGTCTATGGGTCTCTGTGTGGTGAGTCTATGGGTCTCTGTGTGGTAAGTCTATGTGCCTCTGTGTGGTGAGTCTATGGGTCTCTGTGTGATGAGTTTGTGGGTCTCTCTGAGTCTACGGGTGTATCGTAGAGTCAATCTCGATGAGCTTCCTGACATCGAAAGGGAAGAGCGTTCCAGACGGCCACCGTGGCGCCGACATACCTGACTTGTCCCCCCCACCACCACCCCTACCCCCCCGGCAGGTGGAGGAGGAGAGCCAGGTGTCCCGCACCACGCAGTCGGAGCAGGACCACTATGAGATGCACGTCCGCGCGTCGAACATCGTGAGTGGCGGCACCGGCACCGGCCAATCGTGGCCCAGGCCCACGCAGCTAACCCAAAGACAAAGGTGCCGCCCCTCCCTCCCCAAACCCCCCGTGTAGCCTTCAACAGGACGGGTCGGGGCAAGTGCCGTCAGCGAGCTGGAAGCACCTACCCAGGCCACTCACGGTCCACGGGTGCATCGTGTGATGAGTCTGTGTGTCTCTGTGTGATGAGTCTGTGTGTCTCTGTGTGATGAGTCTATGGGTCTGTGTGTGCTGAGTCTATGGGTCTGTGTGTGATGAGTCTGTGTCTCTGTGTGGGATGAGACTATGGGTCTGCGTGTGATGAGTCTATGGGTCTGTGTGTGATGAGTCTGTGTCTCTGTGTGTGATGAGTCTGGGTCTGTGTGTGATGAGTCTATGGGTCTCTGTGTGATGAGTCTGTGTGTCTGTGTGTTATGAGTCTATGGGTCTCGGTGTGATGAGTTTATGGGTCTGTGTGTGATGAGTCTATGGGTCTCTGTGTGATGAGTCTATGGGTCTCTGTGTGATGAGTCTATGGGTCTGTGTGTGATGAGTCTATGGGTCTGTGTGTGATGAGTCTGTGTGTCTCTGTGTGATGAGTCTGTGTGTCTCTGTGTGATGAGTCTGTGTGTCTGTGTGTGATGAGTCTGGGTCTGTGTGATGAGTCTATGGGTCTATGTGTGATGAGTCCATGGGTCTCTGTGTGATGAGTCTGTGTGTCTGTGTGTGTTGAGTCTATGGGCCTCTGTGTGTGCTGAGTCTATGGGACTATGTGTGATGTGTCTATGTGTCTCTGTGTGATGAGTCTGTGTGTCTCTGTGTGATGAGTCTATGGGTCTAGGTGTGATGAGTTTATGGGTCTCTGTGTGATGTGTCTATGGGTCTCTGTGTGATGAGTCTATGGGTCTCTGTGTGATGAGTCTGTGTGTCTCTGTGTGATGAGTCTATGGGTCTAGGTGTGATGAGTTTATGGGTCTGTGTGTGATGAGTCTATGGGTCTATGTGTGATGAGTCTATGGGTCAATGTGTGATGAGTCTATGGGTCTCTGTGTGATGAGTCTGTGTGTGTGTGCGTCTGTGTGTGATGAGTCTATGGGTCTCTGTGTGTTGAGTCTATGGGTCTCTGTGTGTGCTGAGTCTATGGGTTTATGTGTGATGTGTCTATGTGTCTCTGTGTGATGAGTTTGTGTGTCTCTGTGTTATGAGTCTATGGGTCTCGGTGTGATGAGTTTATGGGTCTGTGTGTGATGAGTCTATGGGTCTCTGTGTGATGAGTCTATGGGTCTCTGTGTGATGAGTCTATGGGTCTGTGTGTGATGAGTCAATGGGTCTGTGTGTGATGAGTCTGTGTGTCTCTGTGTGATGAGTCTGTGTGTCTGTGTGTGATGAGTCTGGGTCTGTGTGTGATGAGTCTATGGGTCTATGTGTGATGTGTCTATGTGTCTCTGTGTGATGAGTCTGTGTGTCTCTGTGTGATGAGTCTATGGGTCTCTGTGTGCTCTGTGTGATGAGTCTATGGGTCTCTGTGTGTTGAGTCTATAGGTCTCTGTGTGATGAGTCTATGGGTCTCTGTGTGATGAGTCTATGGGTCTCTGTGTGATGAGTCTATGGGTCTCTGTGTGATGAGTATGTGTCTCTGTGTGATGAGTATATGTGTCTCTGTGTGATGAGTATATGTGTCTCTGTGTGATGAGTCTATGGGTCTCTGTGTGATGAGTTTGTGTCTCTGTGTGATGAGTATATGTGTCTCTGTGTGATGAGTCTATGGGTCTATGGTGAGTCTGGGTCTCTGTGTGAGTCTGGGTCTCTGTGTGGTGAGTCTATGGGTCTCTGTATGGTGAGTTTATGGGTCTCTGAGTCTATGGGTCTCTGAGTCTATGGTGAGTCGAGGTCTCTGTGTGAGTCTGGGTCTCTGTGTGGTGAGTTTATGGGTCTCTGTGTGGTGAGTTTATGGGTCGCTGAGTCTATGGGACTCTGTGTGGTGAGTCTGCGGATCTGGGTGTCGATGGACAACAAACGAAGTCATAACAACAACAAAAAGCAGTTCTAAACAAATGAGTTTTCAATCTAGTTGCGTCATGTCGCGTATAGTAGTGGTGTTGTGTAGTATGTAGTTTATAGTGTAGTGTATAGTAGTGGTGTTGTGTAGTATGTAGTTTATAGTGTATAGTAGTGGTGTTGTGTAGTATGTTGTGTATAGTGTAGTGTATAGTAGTGGTGTTGTGTAGTATGTAGTTTATAGTGTAGTGTATAGTAGTGGTGTTGTGTAGTATGTAGTTTATAGTGTAGTGTATAGTAGTGGTGTTGTGTAGTATGTAGTTTATAGTGTAGTGTATAGGAGTGGTGTTGTGTAGTATGTAGTTTATAGTATAATGTATAGTAGTGGTGTTGTGTAGTATGTAGTTTATAGTGTAGTGTATAGTAGTGGTGTTGTGTAGTATGTAGTTTATAGTGGAGTGTATAGTAGTGGTGTTGTGTAGTATGTAGTTTATAGTGGAGTGTATAGTAGTGGTGTTGTGTAGTACGTAGTTTATAGTGGAGTGTATAGTAGTGGTGTTGTGTAGTACGTAGTTTATAGTGTAGTGTATAGTAGTGGTGTCGTGTAGTATGTAGTTTATAGTGTATAGTAGTGGTGTCGTGTAGTATGTAGTTTATAGTATAGTGTACAGTAGTGATGTTGTGTAGTATGTAGTTTATAGTGTAGTGTATAGTAGTGGTGTTGTGTAGTATGTAGTTTATAGTGTAGTGTTTAGTAGTGGTATTGTGTAGTATGTAGTTTGTAGTGTAGTGTATAGTAGTGGTGTCGTGTAGTATGTAGTTTATAGTGTAGTGTATAGTAGTGGTGTTGTGTAGTATGTAGTTTATAGTGTAGTGTATAGTAGTGGTGTTGTGTAGTATGTAGTTTATAGTGTAGTGTATAGTAGTGGTGTTGTGTAGTATGTAGTTTATAGTGTAGTGTATAGTAGTGGTGTTGTGTAGTATGTAGTTTATAGTGTAGTGTATAGTAGTGGTGTTGTGTAGTATGTAGTTTAAAGTGTATAGTAGTGGTGTTGTGTAGTATGTAGTTTATAGTGTAGTGTATAGTAGTGGTGTTGTGTAGTATGTAGTTTATAGTGTATAGTAGTGGTGTTGTGTAGTATGTAGTTTATAGTGTAGTGTATAGTAGTGGTGTTGTGTAGTATGTAGTTTAAAGTGTATAGTAGTGGTGTTGTGTAGTATGTAGTTTATAGTGTAGTGTATAGTAGTGGTGTTGTGTAGTATGTAGTTTAAAGTGTATAGTAGTGGTGTTGTGTAGTATGTAGTTTATAGTGTAGTGTATAGTAGTGGTGTTGTGTAGTATGTAGTTTAAAGTGTATAGTAGTGGTGTTGTGTAGTATGTAGTTTATAGTGTAGTGTATAGTAGTGGTGTTGTGTAGTATGTAGTTTAAAGTGTATAGTAGTGGTGTTGTGTAGTATGTAGTTTATAGTGTAGTGCATAGTAGTGGTGTTGTGTAGTATGTAGTTTATAGTGTATAGTAGTGGTATTGTGTAGTATGTAGTTTAAAGTGTATAGTAGTGGTGTTGTGTAGTATGTAGTTTAAAGTGTATAGTAGTGGTGTTGTGTAGTATGTAGTTTAAAGTGTATAGTAGTGGTGTTGTGTAGTATGTAGTTTATAGTGTAGTGTATAGTAGTGGTGTTGTGTAGTATGTAGTTTATAGTGTATAGTAGTGGTGTTGTGTAGTATGTAGTTTAAAGTGTATAGTAGTGGTGTTGTGTAGTATGTAGTTTATAGTGTAGTGTATAGTAGTGGTGTTGTGTAGTATGTAGTTTATAGTGTATAGTAGTGGTGTTGTGTAGTATGTAGTGTATAGTAGTGGTATTGTGTAGTATGTAGTTTATAGTGGAGTGTATAGTAGTGGTGTTGTGTAGTATGTAGTTTATAGTGTAGTGTATAGTAGTGGTGTTGTGTAGTATGTAGTTTATAGTGTAGTGTATAGTAGTGGTATTGTGTAGTATGTAGTTTATAGTGTAGTGTATAGTAGTGGTGTTGTGTAGTATGTAGTTTATAGTATAGTGTACAGTAGTGATGTTGTGTAGTATGTAGTTTATAGTGTAGTGTATAGTAGTGGTGTTGTGTAGTATGTAGTTTATAGTGTAGTGTATAGTAGTGGTGTTGTGTAGTATGTAGTTTATAGTGTAGTGTATAGTAGTGGTATTGTGTAGTATGTAGTTTATAGTGGAGTGTATAGTAGTGGTGTTGTGTAGTATTTAGTTTATAGTGTAGTGTATAGTAGTGGTGTTGTGTAGTATGTAGTTTAAAGTGTATAGTAGTGGTGTTGTGTAGTGTGTAGTGTATAGTAGTGGTGTTGTGTAGTATGTAGTTTAAAGTGTATAGTAGTGGTGCTGTGTAGTATGTAGTTTATAGTGTAGTGTATAGTAGTGGTGTTGTGTAGTATGTAGTTTATAGTGTATAGTAGTGGTGTTGTGTAGTATGTAGTTTATAGTGTAGTGTATAGTAGTGGTGTTGTGTAGTACGTAGTTTATAGTGTAGTGTATAGTAGTGATGTTGTGTAGTATGTAGTTTGTAATGTATAGTAGTGGTGTTGTGTAGTACGTAGTTTATAGTGTAGTGTATAGTAGTGGTGTCGTGTAGTACGTAGTTTATAGTGTATAATAGTGGTGCCGTGTAGTATGTAGTTTATAGTGTAGTGTATAGTAGTGAGTCTATGTATCTCCCTCACCGACAACTCCCCCTCCTTGCACCCACTCCCCCCCCCCCCTCCCACCCTTACCCCCACCTGCCCACCTCACCTGCCCCCCACCTGCACCCCCCCCACCCCCCCCCCCCCCCCCACCAGGTGAGGGCGGGCGAGTCCCTGACGAAGCTGGTGTCGGAGCTGAAGCAGTTCCTGATCCTCAACGACTTTGCTGCAGTGAACGAGGCGGTGGCCCAGCGTGCGGCCCACCTGCGCACCACGCACGAAGAGTGTGACCGCAAGCTTGTGTCCCTGCGCGACGACATCGCCACCGACCTCTACGAGCTCGAGGAGGAGTTCTACTCCAGGTGCCGCGGGGTGGACGTGGTGGGCGGGGGGCTGGGTGGCGGCGGGGAGCGGGAGAAGTACGGGGTAGGGGGGTGATTGTGAGTGTCTGTATGTGTTTGCGTGTCTGTGTGTGGGTGGTGGGTGTGTGTATGGGTGAGGTTGTGGGTATATGTGTATGGGCGATGAGTGTGTCTGTGTGTGTGGGTGGTGTGTGTGTGTCTGTGTGTGTGGGTGGTGTGTGTGTGTCTGTGTGTGTGGGTGGTGTGTGTGTGTCTGTGTGTGTGGGTGATATGTGTGTGTCTGTGTGTATGGGTGATGTGTGTGTGTGTCTGTGTGTGTGGGTGATATGTGTGTGTGTGAGTGATGTGGTGGGTGTATGTATGGGTGATGTGGTGGGTATAAGTGTATGAGTGATGTGGTGGGTATATGTGTATGGGCGATGAGTGTGTCTGTGCATGGGTGATGTGTGTGTCTGTGTGTGTGGGTGATGTGTGTCTGTGTGTATGGGTGATGTGTGTGTCTGTGTGTATGGGTGATGTGTGTGTCTGTGTGTGTGGGTGATGTGTGTGTCTGTGTGTATGGGTGATGAGTGTGTCTGTGTGTATGGGTGATGTGTGTGTCTGTGTGTATGGGTGATGTGTGTGTCTGTGTGTATGGGTGATGTGTGTGTCTGTGTGTATGGGTGATGTGTGTGTCTGTGTGTATGGGTGATGTGTGTGTCTGTGTGTATGGGTGATGTGTGTGTCTGGGTGATGTGTGTGTCTGTGTGTATGGGTGATGTGTGTGTCTGTGTGTATGGGTGATGTGAGCATTTCTGTGAGGTCCTGGGGGAGGGGAAATCCCTCAGCCAGGAAAACATCGTGGCACAAAGTGGGGATGACCCTGCTGAGGCTGCAATGCCTCGAATATTGGAAGAAGTCACCCCCTGTGAGTGGCTGGCTGAGGTGCCATCTGTTGAGGAAGTACTGAAGGCGATCCGGAGTCTGAGACCAGGAAAGGCACCGGGTAGAGATGATCTCCCAAACGAAATGCTGAGGGAGGGTGGCGTTTGTGCACAGACTGCCCTATATGACATCATAACAAGTCTGGACCACTGGATGGGTTCCGCAGGATTGGAAGGATGCCCTGGTGGTACCCCTCTTTAAGAAGGGGGACAGCACAGACTGTAACAACTACAGGGACATCTCACTCCTCAGTGTGCCGGGAAAGGTCCTGGCAAGGATTATTCAACATCGCCTAGCCAGGCACGCTGAGGAGAGGCTTGCGGAGCCCCAATGCGGTTTCAGGAAAGGGCGGTCCTGCACAGATGCCATATTTTCTGTCCGTCTGCTACAGCAGAGGTGTAGGGAATTCCAGCAAGACCTACATCTCTGCTTGATTGACCTGGTCAAGGCCTATGATACCATTAGTAGGCCTGGGCTCTGGGTTGTTCTTCGTGCTTTTGGAGTACCTGACCCTCTGCTCACGATCATTAAGGACCTTCATGATGGTGAGCGGGCCCGGGTAAAACTACGTGGCCGGGAGTCAGAGCCATTCCCTGTACACCTTGGGGTGTGACAGGGATGTCCTCTGGCTCCCACATTATTTAAATCTATTTTGACCACGTAGTTCGTGAAGCCGTCAATAGCTGTACCGGGGGAATCTCTATTTTGTACAGATATAATGGGAGGCTGATCGATGCCCGGGTGCGGTCAAGGGATGGCTCCCTATTGCTCAACCACGTTATGTATGCCGATGATTTGGTAATAGCTGCTCATTCAGAGGAGGAGTTGGAGACGCTGCTGCTGAGACTGGAGCGTGCCATTAAGAGATGGGGCCTTACCAATAGCCCAACCAAAACTAAGCACTTGCCTGGGTATTTTGTACCATCGGACACTCCACCCCCACAACTCCCAATCGGTGATGGGGCAGTTGTGGAGAGAGTGGAGAGTTTCCCATACCTGGGCAGTGTGCTTATGACCGGCCCCAGTTTAACAGCAGAGGTCTCACTCCGAATCAGTCGAGCGGCAATATCTTTTCATTGGTTGCGTAACGCTGTGTGGAAGCTACCTGGTCTGTCGCTCCACACTAAGCTTCAGGTCTTCTCGGCCACGGTCATTCCCTCCCTTCTCTACGCTTGCGAAACGTGGACCCCCCTAATGGAACATCTTCGCCGGTTAGAAACATTTAGGCTGGCCTACCTACGATCCATCCTGGGTTTAACCAGGCTGGATTGTGTGAGGAGCTCACAAATCTTTGAAAGATCTGAGCAAGGTCCCATCTGTGAGCTCCTCCGGCAGGCAAGGCTGCATTGGCTGGGTCATGTAGCCCGCATGCCCAGCCACCCCATGCCGAAACAGCTTTTATTCGGCCGGCTCGAGGGGGCTAAATGGGCGCGGCACGGGCTAGAGAAGAGATGGAGTGACGTGGTACAGGAGGACGTGGAGCTGAGTGGACTTGCCGATGACTGGTACCAGCGGTGTCAAGATCGGCCTCTGTGGAGGAGGCTAGTGAAGGACGCTATTGGGCAGTTGGAGGCAGTCGCCCTCCAAAAACAACGGCGGGCGGAGAAGCGACGCTCACAACAACGAGCGGAGCGCCGGGTGGCTAAAGCACAGCAGGTTGGCACAGTAGGGGGCACAGGTGGTGCATCAGCCAGTCATCTCGGTCATCTTAGTCAGTCGACCCGTGGCACTTGGGTCTGCCCCGTGACCTCCTGCCCGCGGGCGTTCGACACTTCACGTGGCCTCAGGGTGCACATAGCCTGGCACAAGCGTCGTGGTGACGTCACCGCCACTTAGTGGCGAATGGCGGTTGTTGTTGTTGTGGTGGGTGTATGGGGGCGATGTGTGTGTCTGTGTGTATGAGTGATGTGCGTGTCTGTGTATGGGTGATGTCTGTTTAGGGGTGATGTGTGCGTCTGCGTATGGGTCATGTGTATGGGTGATGTGTGTGTCTGTGTATGGGTGATGTGTGCATCTGTGTATGGGTGATGTGTGCATCTGTGTATGGGTGATGTGTGCGTCTGTGTATGGGTGATGTGTGCGTCTGTGTATGGGTAATGTGTGCATCTGTATGTATGGGTGATGTGGTGGGTGTATGTATGGGGGCGATGTGTGTGTCTGTGTGTATGAGTGATGTGTGTGTCTGTGTGTATGAGTGATGTGTGTGTCTGTGTGTATGAGTGATGTGTGTGTCTGTGTGTATGAGTGATGTGTGTGTGTCTATGTTCTACTCCAGGTGCGGGGCGCATGAATTGCTTCTGCTAATGATGATGTTGTTACTGCTTATAATGATGTTGCTGATGATGACGCTGCTGATGATGACGCTGCTGACGATGACGCTGCTGACGATGACGCTGCTGACGATGACGCTGTTGACGATGACGCTGCTGATGATGATGTTTAGTGGGAGAGACCAAACTTGGCCTCATCACCTTCTCACCTCACCCCCACCCCCATCCTCCAGCAGCTGGATCCCAGAGCCCCCCGCAGGCCCCGAGGGAGGCCCTCCGCAGTGCGGGGGGGGAGGGGAGCCGGGCGGTGATCGCGGCTCTCAGGGCCCCGGCGGCGTGGGGGGGGTGGGCGGGGGCGACCCCACCGGGGCCACGGCTCCCGCGGCCTTCCTGGGCCCACGCGGCGGAGGGCCCGGCAGCCTGGGGGACGGGAGGCCCTCGCACGCACAGTGACGGGGAGGGGCAGGGGAGAGGGGCAGGGTTGGGGTAGGGCAGGGAAGGGCGTGACGAGGGGCAGGGAGAGGGGCAGGGACGGGCAGAGAGAGGGTCAGGGAGAGGGGCAGGGAAGGGCAGGGAGAGGGGCAGGGATAGGGGCAGGGTAGGGAGAGGGGCAGGGAAGGGCGTGACGAGGGGCAGGGAGAGGGGCAGGGAGAGGGGCAGGGAAAGGCAGGACAGGGGGCAGGGAAAGGCATGACGAGGGGCAGGGAGAGGAGCAGGACGAGGGGCAGGGAAGGGTAGGGAGAGGGGCAGGGAAGGGTAGGGAGAGGGGTAGGGAGAGGGGCAGGGCAGGGGGAGGGGCAGGACCGGGAAGGGTAGGGAGAGGGGCAGGGAAGGGTAGGGAGAGGGGTAGGGAGAGGGGCAGGGCAGGGGGAGGGGCAGGACAGGGAAGGGTAGAGAGAGGGACAAGGCAGAGAGGGGCAGGGCAGGATGAGGGGACATGAGCAGAGCGGTGAGGGATAGGTGTGGGGTAGTGAAGGGCAGGATACACAGAAGGGCAGGGAGGGCTTACTTGGAGGCAGCGTGACCACACTGGGGGGTGTTTGCGATGGAACGTCGTTCAACGCGGGGCGCGGTAGTGCAGCGGTTAGCGCGGTAGTGCAGCGGTTAGCGCGGTAGTGCAGCGGTTAGCGCGGTAGTGCAGCGGTTAGCGTGGTAGTGCAGCGTTGTCTGAACAGGGTCCTGGGCACCTCCCCCCGGAGGTCATCTAGGCCTCAAATGAGCACCTGGTGCAGCGGTGTGTAGTAGTAGTAGTAAACATCGCCACTGGGGAGACAAAGGCGGCCGGGCGTGGTAGTGCCGGTAGCCACCCACCCCCTCGTGTGCCACGGTGCCGGTAGCCTTCATAGGCGCTGCCCCTGCTCGCTGACAGCGCTTGCCCAGACAGTTCTGTTGAGGTTCCAGTGAGGGGCTGCGGGGGGCGATCTCTGTCTTTGTTGTGAAATAAAAGTGCGAGCGTGAAGTCGACTCTGCCGCGTCCGAAAAGTGTGGCCTCCGTCTTCCCCAGCGCCACCACAAGTAGGCGCCACGGTGGCTAGGAGATGTTAACTACCTCGCCCGGTGTACAGGAGGTCGTGGGTTCGATCCCGACCCTGACGACGCCTGCTGCTGCTGTATATTTGGAGTCTGCGTCTCTCTCGTCAACATCATCACGGTGGCTAGGAGATGTTAACTACCTCGCCTGGTCTACAGGATGGCCGGGGGTTCGATCCCGACCCTGACGACGCCTGCTGTATATTTGAAGTCTGCGTCTCTCCCTCATCAACATCATCACGGTGGCTAGGAGATGTTAACTACCTCGCCCGGTGTACAGGATGGTCGTGGGTTCGATCCCGACCCTGACGACGCCTGCTGCTGCTGTATATTTGGAGTCTGCGTCTCTCTCTCTCTCGTCAACATCATCACGGTGGCTAGGAGATGTTCACTACCTCGCCTGGTCTACAGGATGGTCGTGGGTTCGATCCCGACCCTGACGACGCCTGCTGCTGCTGTAGATTTGGAGTCTGCGTCTCTCTCCCTCATCAACATCATCACGGTGGCTAGGAGATGTTAACTACCTCGCCTGGTGTACAGGATGGCCGGGGGTTCGATCCCGACCCTGACGACGCCTGCTGTATATTTGAAGTCTGCGTCTCTCTCCCTCATCAACATCATCACGGTGGCTAGGAGATGTTAACTACCTCGCCTGGTGTACAGGATGGCCGGGGGTTCGATCCCGACCCTGACGACGCCTGCTGTATATTTGAAGTCTGCGTCTCTCTCCCTCATCAACATCATCACGGTGGCTAGGAGATGTTAACTACCTCGCCTGGTGTACAGGATGGCCGGGGGTTCGATCCCGACCCTGACGACGCCTGCTGTATATTTGAAGTCTGCGTCTCTCTCCCTCATCAACATCATCACGGTGGCTAGGAGATGTTAACTACCTCGCCCGGTGTACAGGATGTCGTGGGTTCGATCCCGACCCTGACGACGCCTGCTGCTGCTGTAGATTTGGAGTCTGCGTCTCTCTCTCTCTCGTCAACATCATCACGGTGGCTAGGAGATGTTAACTACCTCGCCCGGTGTACAGGAGGTCGTGGGTTCGATCCCGACCCTGACGACGCCTGCTGCTGCTGTAGATTTGGAGTCTGCGTCTCTCTCTCTCTCGTCAACATCATCACGGTGGCTAGGAGATGTTAACTACCTCGCCTGGTCTACAGGATGGCCGTGGGTTCGATCCCGACCCTGACGACGCCTGCTGCTGCTGTAGATTTGGAGTCTGCGTCTCTCTCTCCCTCATCAACATCATCACGGTGGCTAGGAGATGTTAACTACCTCGCCTGGTGTACAGGATGGCCGGGGGTTCGATCCCGACCCTGACGACGCCTGCTGTATATTTGAAGTCTGCGTCTCTCTCCCTCATCAACATCATCACGGTGGCTAGGAGATGTTAACTACCTCGCGCGGTATACAGGAGGTCATGGGTTCGATCCCGACTCCTGCTGTATATTTGTAATACAGGTATTTTTTTTTTGGGGGGGGGGGGGGGGGGCTGGATCGCGTACACTTCTAAATGTGTCGTTAAACCCTCCGCCACCCGACACAGCCGAGCGGTAAAGGTTTGCCGCGAAAACAAAACGCGCCAATTGCTGACTGCCTCGGCCCCAGCGGTCGTGTGCGTTGGGAGAGCAAATCTACAAGATTCACAGTTGCGCTCGTGATTACATCACCACCATCATCATCATCGTCGTCATTGTTAGGCGATTTTCCCGATGATGATGCTGCTGCTGATGTATGTTGTTGTTATTATTGTTGTCTTATTGAGCCTACCTATCACATTAACCCCCCCCCCCCCATCGTCGAAAGGATTCGTGAAGGGAGGAGAGTGGAAGCGGCTCCATGGGTCGAGGCAAACTTGGCGACAGGGGTCAATAAATGTTGTGGGTTCACGAGTGCCTTTGTGTGATAAAAGTGTGAGCGAGTAAACCCACAACATTCACTCTCCAACACACTCACACAGCGGTGTGTTGGAGAGTAAACCCACAACATTCACTCTCCAACACACTCACACACAGTGGTGTGTTGGAGAGTAAACCCACAACATTCACTCTCCAACACACTCACACACACAGCGGTGTGTTTGAGAGTAAACCCACAACATTCACTCTCCAACACACTCACACAGCGGTGTGTTGGAGAGTAAACCCACAACATTCACTCTCCAACACACTCACATAGCGGTGTGTTAGAGAGTAAATCTACAACATTCACTCTCCAACACACAGAGCGGTGTGTTGAAGAGTAAACCCACAACATTCACTCTCCAACACACTCACACAGCGGTGTGTTGGAGAGTAAACCCACAACATTCACCCCCCAACACACTCACATAGCGGGGTGTTGGAGAGTAAATCCACTGTAACATCTACAGAGTAAACCCACAACATTCACTCTCCAACACACAAACAGCGGTGTGTTGGAGAGTAAACCCACAACATTCACTCTCCAACACACTCACATAGCGGTGTGTTGGAGAGTAAACCCACAACATTCACTCTCCAACACACTCACACAGCGGTGTGTTGGAGAGTAAACCCACAACATTCACTCTCCAACACACTCACATAGCGGTGTGTTGGAGAGTAAACCCACAACATTCACTCTCCAACACACTCACACACACAGCGGTGTGTTGGAGAGTAAACCCACAACATTCACTCTCCAACACACTCACACACAGTGGTGTGTTGAAGAGTAAACCCACAACATTCACTCTCCAACACACTCACACAGCGGTGTGTTGGAGAGTAAACCCACAACATTCACTCTCCAACACACTCGCACACAGCGGTGTGTTGGAGAGTAAACCCACAACATTCACTCTCCAACACACTCACACACAGCGGTGTGTTGAAGAGTAAACCCACAACATTCACTGTCCAACACACTCACACACAGCGGTGTGTTGGAGAGTAAACCCACAACATTCACTCTCCAACACACTCACACAGCGGTGTGTTGGAGAATAAGCCCACAACATTCACTCTCCAACACACTCACACAGCGGTGTGTTGAAGAGTAAACCCAAAACATTCACTCTCCAACACACTCACACACAACGATGTGTTGGAGAGTAAACCCACCACATTCACTCTCCAACACACTCACACAGCGGTGTGTTGAAGAGTAAACCCACAACATTCACTCTCCAACACACTCACACACAACGATGTGTTGGAGAGTAAACCCACAACATTCACTCTCCAACACACTCACACAGCGGTGTGTTGAAGAGTAAACCCACAACATTCACTCTCCAACACACTCACACAGCGGTGGGTTGGAGAGTAAGCCCACAACATTCACTCTCCAACACACTCACATAGCGGTGTGTTGGAGAGTAAACCCACAACATTCACTCTCCAACACACACACAACGATGTGTTGGAGAGTAAACCCACAACATTCACTCTCCAACACAGCGGTGTGTTGGAGAGTAAACCCACAACATTCACTCTCCAACACACACACAGTGGTGTGTTGGAGAGTAAACCCACAACATTCACTCTCCAACACACTCACACACAGCGGTGTGTTGAAGAGTAAACCCACAACATTCACTCTCCAACACACTCACACACAGCGGTGTCTTGGAGAGTAAACCCACAACATTCACTCTCCAACACACTCACACACAGTGGTGTGTTGGAGAGTAAACCCACAACATTCACTCTCCAACACACTCACACACAGTGGTGTGTTGGAGAGTAAACCCACAACATTCACTCTCCAACACACTCACACACAGCCGTGTGTTGGAGAGTAAACCCACAACATTCACTCTCCAACACACTCACACACAGTGGTGTGTTGGAGAGTAAACCCACAACATTCACTCTCCAACACACTCACACAGCGGTGTCTTGGAGAGTTTACCCTCAACATTCACTCTCCAACACACTCACATAGCGGTGTGTTGGAGAGTAAAT